GGAAATAGATAACATGGACTGGGAGAAAAAGTGTAAGCTTATTTCATCAGACCCAGTTACATGTGTTAGACAGTTTGATTACCAGGTCAGTCTGTTGTTCAGAGATGTACTGAAAGCAGAGAACTCACCCCTGGGAAAAATGTGATTATTTTACAGGGTTGAGTTCCAGCACAGAGGCTCGCCTCGCCTTTATGCTTTGTTATGGGTTGACGGGGCTCCTAAATACAAGTGCAGTGAAAATAAAGAACTTGTTGAGAACACTGACAGCAAGATATCTTGTAGAAGAATTGCGGATGACGATGATTTACAGCCACTAGTAAATCATCAGACACATAAACATTCTCATACATGTAGAAGAAAAAACCAAAAGATTTGCAAGTTTGGTTTCCCCAAACCACCAATGCCAAACACTGTAATTCTAGAACCGCTGGATACAACGGTTGGTGAGAATGTCATTAATTCATATAAAAGTGATTATGACAAAGTGACGGTAGTTTTAGATGAAATGAAAGATAGTGTAGAAGTTAGTGCCCAGGAAGCAGCATATGTCATACTACAACTTCCTATGAGAAAAGCATTGAGAGAGGTGTTTATTAACACGTCTCCTCCGTGCGAATGGGTATAAGAACCGTTCAAAGCAGTTAGAAAATGTAAGTCTGGCTGATTTCATTGCTTGGTACATTAGGAATAATACCTATATTAAACGATCCAAACAACTAGAAAACGACCAGACATTAGTCGAAGACTAAATGGAGCACAACTCTGATTGGGTCGATGAAGACTTGAGAGAGAATTCTTCTCAAGCAAAGAAAACAATTGAAAAATCTATGATAAAGAAACGGGCAGTGGCAAAAGTCACTAGGTATGTCAATTTTAATGTTGACAAGGTGCCCGAGAAACATTACAGAGAACACCTCATGTTGTATTCCAACTGGAGGGATGAAGTTGATTTATTGGGAGGATTTGATTCCTTCCAAAGCAGATATGAACCTATGAAAGAACAAATAGTTGAGCAAATTAAGCAATATGATACGAATGGGGATGCTGTAGATGCAGCTATTCTTGCTGAAGGCCAGAATTTGGAAGATGCCTGGGATCAACAGGCACCTGTTACCCAGCAAGTTGAAAAGGAAGATGAAATAGCAGGGTATATGATAAGAAAAATAAATTGATAAGCACTTATTGGATTTTTACAAAAAAGTGCTAATCATATTTACGTCCGTAATATTCCTAGAAAATTAGGTGTTTTCATAATACGATAGAGTGAAAGAGTAGCGACCCGTACGACCTTGGCTACCTGCTTCACATTTACGCCAGTAATATTCCTCCAAAATTCTGTGTCTTCATTTACACGGCAGAAAATGAAAGCAAAATATCTGTCGAAAACATTGTCTTCATTATAAACTGGCGTGGTTTCGAATCCCCGGTTGTACGTGACAAAGAGTAGGGTCGCCTGTCCAACCTCGTGGGTTTTCTCCGGGACCACCGGTTTCCTCCCACTGCTAAAGACCCCTACGCGCAAGCGAATTATTGAAATAAAATTAAACCATATGTTAGTCCCGAATTGACCTAGTTTGTGTCGAGTGGACGTTAAACCCGATTTCTCTCTCTCTCATTATAAAACGATATTTTAAAATTCCATTGTAGCATCGACACCCATATGCAATGCATGCATTGTCGCCACATTGTTGTTATTTGTCAACGTTACCCTTTTTTCCGCCAAAATGAACCAAGGCCATTTTAGTCGCAAAGTAGTTTGTTAAATGAATAAAAATTAAACTGATGTGTATAGCTAATAACAGTGCGCGATTCGGGTGGATACATTTTTCGTATGTTTATAGCCTACGGAATATTTTGTTGTAGCAGTGAATAGAAAATGATTAAAATGTTGTGTGGTGGCAAATAGGTTGCCAGATGGGAACACGTGGTCAATTCTTACAAAGGGAAATAACTATCAAGCTTGTATATTTACAGGATTATCAAATATTACGCCTGTACTTATTACTTCGTTAGATCGTGAACTGAATGACTGTTAAAATGTTAGCTTACAATTAGTTTATTGACTAATCTTTGATTTCTTTTAGTCTCGTCGACCGACATCAAGAGGATTAAAATGACTGTACGCAGTTGAAAGGTAAATAACGTTTGTTCAACATTTTTTTACGCCTAAATTATTTAGGATAAGAAACTTGATTCGCAGATTCCATTAAATTTGATAACTTTCTGTTAATCAATTAATATTTGATTCGCACTTACGTCGTTTTTGTTTAGCAAACTGCGATGCGATACCGCTGATCATATACCCTGTGAAATAGAAGAAATGTTAGATATAAAGAAGAATTCTGAAAGTGGTAACCCTACCAAATACGAGTATGATCTTGGTATGGATTTGGGACTTATCAGTGAAAGTAATGTTGAACTGGTGGCACTGTATGAAATGCCCGATGAAAATTATAGAACTCTCATGAGGTCATTGAATCAGAAACAGCTACATTTTGTATATGATACCTTGAATGAAATAAAACTGTCATAGAATCAGGTTTTCAGATTCTTTCTTGAGTGGCGGAGCTGGTGTATGGAAAAGTTTTTTAACAACTGCTTTGTATCAAAGTTTGTTGAGGTATTACCAAACTAAAGCAGGTGATGATTTTGAAACTATTAAGTAAATATTTTGGCGCCAACGGGCAAGGCAGCTTCTGTGTTGGAGATCTGTTTCAGTTGAAACCGGTATTTGATGGTTATATATTTGAAAATCTCGACAGTGCCTATGGAGCATTAGCGGTATAACAAAACTATACAGTTATATGGGACAACAATCACTGGTTTATTATACACAGGCACGACGTTTCGATAAGTATTCTCTTATCGGGGAAACCAAAAGACCAGTGGCATATAGCGATCAGTAAACACATTAACAGAACACAGTTTTTATGGGATACAATCACTAGTTTTATTCTAAAAAGTACGACGTTTTGACAAGTATCCTCTTATCGTTAAGATGATACTTGTCGTAATGTTGTGCTTTTAGAATAAAACTAGTGATTGTATCCCATAAAAACTGTGTTCTGTTGAAGAACAGAAAGAGAAACGCTGCAGGTTGTCGCCAGCACATGAAGGAAATAATAATGATTTGAAATACTGTGGTGGCAACTATGTAAACCCTTCACTGGACATATCACTGTGGCCTTGGTGTGTAATAGTATAGAAAAAAGCAAATTGGAAATATAAAGCTCTAATGCACTGGTTACAGTGTATAAAGCAGAAGGTATCAGCTTTATATATGCTCTTGTATTAGCAATGATATTGTAAGATTGCTAAAACAGGGTATGTATTAGCATGACAGGTGTAGGGAAGTCGGGGGAGCCTGTCTATTTTATATAAGAAAAGATAATGTTGTTGCTCATTGCAAAAAAGTTTACTGTAAATCCTACACTGGCCTTGGTGTGTTATAGTATAGAAAAATGCAATTTGGAAAGATAAAGCTCTATCACACTGTTTACAGTGTATAAAGCAGATGATATCAGCTATTAATACTATTGTATTATTGGCAAAGATATTGTAAGATTGCTAATGTATTAGCATGACAGGTGTAGGGGAGTTGGGGAGCAGCCTGTTCAATTTATATAAGAAAAAATAAGATTTTTGCCCATTGCAAATACATAAGTTGTACATACTCCACTGGTCGTATTACCATGGTCTGTGTGTATTATTGTAGAAAAATGCAAACTAATACATGTATTAGTGTAGAAAAAATGAAATTTGGAAAGATGAAAGGCTAATACACTGGTTACTGTGTATAAAGCAGAAGATATTATCTTTGAATACTGGTATGTATTTGACAAAGATATTGAAAGATTACTAATGCCATGTATTAATGTAGAAAAATGAAATTTGGAAAGATAAAAGGCTATTACACTTGTTACAGTGTATAAAGCAGAAAATATTTTCTTTGAATACTGTTATGTATTTGACAAAGATATTGAAAGATTACTAATACCATGTATTAATGTAGAAAAATTCCTCAAATGGGTAAGCTAATTACTTTATAAATATTTCATTTAATTTTTTGATTATGTAACTTTGAAAGTTGAGTATGAGAATAGTTTGTTTGAATTATTTATGTAAATATGTAATACTGTAAGGTAATATTGTCAGAAATATTGATTATGTAGACAAAAATAATGGCAACTATTGTATGTATTTTCAGGGCAAGCATTAAATATGTTTGTGTGTCTGTAGCTATCACTAATGTCATCATAATTGGTATTTAATGGTTTTATCGTTTATGGTATAGAAGATTGAGATAGATTAACCAGCATCTGTTTACTCGTTTTTCTCTTATCGTAAAATATATATACTGTATTGTGTGTTTGTGGATTATATAAACTTATTTAAAACCCCTTTCTTTTTTTTCAATCAAAAAGTCCTATTGTCCCAAACTACGCAGGATTTATTTACTGCTTTACCACACCATTGCCGCTCTTTGTACGCAAATTGTGTAAAAGGAAGGTTGTGGACCCTCTAGAGGTTACAATTTTTAACCTATTTTGATGAAACTTAAAACATATCTTTATATTCCAGAGATCTCGGTCCCTTTTGATATTTGCGCATTTCAAGCTATAACTTTCTGGATTATGACCCCTGATTGTACAAAAAAATTGTTTTTGTTTTTAGCTTGTTCTCTATCCATCTCTTGCAAAATGTGGGCATATCCTGCCTGGCAGCTGCTGGTTCCTTTAAAATTCAGTATGTCAGAAGGGTTTGATACTAGGGTTTCAATGTGTGTTGTCTTTGGGAGAATTTGTCTAGTCTTCTCTTTCCAGTTCCCATACATTTTGTTTCCTGATCTCCAAAACTCTGATCTGTGAGCAATCACATAGTTTTTATGATAGAGGCTGCAATTGATGTTCAAGCTATAGTAGTTGAATACCGGTAATAATTTTGAAAAAATTCTGATTCACAAAATGATAATAATTACCGTATTTGAAATATAATTACAGTATCACCACCACCACCTAGTGGTAGATCAAGAACTTTGATTGATTCACCTTCAACACCAACTCAGATACAATCAAGTAAGTTAATATCACAAGTTGAAAACAATCGGGTTTTAATGAGTTAGAAAGTCAAGGTTCATAGTCAGTTACCAGAAGGGTAAAGAATTCTGTAAGGATATGTCAGTGGCACCACCTTGTTTTTTTTTTTGGTCCCCCACCTTTTGAAGAAAGCTGAGGACTGTTAAAATGGGTCTATCCGTCCATCAGTCTGTCCGTCACACTTTTTGGGACAAAATAACTCTCCTTATGGGCATCCTCGCTGAAGGAATTCCCACCAGGCATCTCTATTAAAATCTTGGTTCCATGTGACCTTATTGATGGTAAGAGATCCGCATTTCGACGTATCGTGATTAAATTCCATTTTTAGCGACAAATCTAACGTTTGTCTACACACCAGTTCGTAATGAATGTACAGGAAAACAATGCTGTAAGGTAAATAAAGAGGTCACGTGGGACCGCCTCCTCTTTGGTGTCTCCTATAAATTAATGCCCCCTTATCTCTAGCGAGGATACCCATTGAGCCAAAATGTTCAAATTTAGTGTAGGTGTTTATTAGGTGAATGAGGTTAGGAGCAGAACAGTAGGACGTTAAACTCCATTTCATTTCATTTATTAGGTGAATGTCTTGATGGAGTTTAAAGATGAGAATTTTCTGCTTAAGCTAAGCAGAGATAAACAATTTCATTGGTTGATGCTTTGAGACACGATAACTTTGCTTCTAATTAAGCGAGAGTGATGAAACTTGGTGTATAGATTCATTTTATCACAATACCTTGACTAAGTTCGATGATGAGAATTTTCTGCTTAGGCTAAGTAGCGATAAGCAATTTCATTGGTCAAGATTTTGGAACATAACAACTCTGCTTTTAATTGAGGTACAATGTTTAAACTTTGTGTAGATGTTCATTAGGTGAATGTCTTGACATTCATTAACATTTTCCGCTAAAGCTAAGCAGAGCTAATTAATTGTCCCCCGCCTTTCGAAAGAAAGCAGGAAACTATTAAAATGGATCTGTCTGTCCGTCCGTCCATCCATCTGTTTGGGACACAATAACTCTTCTAATTGTGCCAGAATGTTCAAACTTTATGTGGGTGTTTATTAGGTCTATGCCAGGATGGAGTTCGAAGATCGGCATTTTCTGCTTAGGGTAAGCAGAGATAAGCCATTTGATTGGTTGATGCCTTGAGACACAATAACTTTAATTCTGATTAAGTGAAAGTGATGAAACTTGGTGTATAGTTTCATTACATCAGTACATTGACTAAGTTCGATAATGAGCATTTTCTGCTCAGGGTAAGCAGAGCGATAAGCAATTTGATTGGCCAAGATTTTGGAACACAATAACTCTCCTTATAAATGAGCTAGAATGTTCACACCTGGTGTAGGTGTTTATTAGGTCAATGCCTTGATGGAGTTAGAAGATGAGAATTTTCAGCTTAGGGTAAGCAGAGATATGCAATTTCATTGGTTGATGCTTTGAGACATGATAATTTTACTGTCAGGTTGCGGCGATAATTAGGTAAGGCGATAAGATTATCGTCTGAAATCTCAAATATCGCTTTATCACGATAATTCTAAAAAAATACCGCGATATTTTCATTTTTGAGCACAATTCACATTAAATCCGTTAAATACTCCAAAAATGAAGAAGAAATCAAATTGTGCCGATACTAGATCTATTCCATTTTCCAAATTCCACAACAGACTTTGAGACAGCCATTTTTAACGCAAGGGTGACCCGTGCACTCTACAGAAAGTTGGTTTCGACACGACTGATGGGCACACTTCAGTGGTTGTGTCTCGAACTATCAGCGGTGGAGTGTATGATACTTTAAATAGATGGGGATCACGTGGCTAAGTGGGTAAGATGCTAGCTCGCTAGCCTGGAGGTCGGGTGTTCGATCCCAGCATTGGCCGAGAAAGATCATCCAGATTTTCCGGCGTGGTTCTCCTCCCTTGTCAATGATGCAGGACGGAGGGGCTGACAAGGAAAGCTGTCTAGTCGTTCGGATGGGACGAAAAACCGAGGTCCTGTGTACACATTGGCGTGCACGTAAAAGATCCCTTGGCAGTTGGAATTCGATATAAGAGTAGGCCGTAGTGCCGCTGACCGGGCAAAATTTCCCTCATAGCACACTGTATGGCGTATGCCCATCTTCATTAGCCCAGGTTAGGAGCAGAACAGTAAGACGTTAAACTCCATTTCATTTCATTTCATTTACTTTAAATAGCCGTGGTATGTGCAATTCTCTACAAATCTATCAACTATTACAGCCGTAAAAAATCTATTGTTGACCATTTTGAATAGCAGTAAAATTTAGCTTCTTAGATATTATGTTCGTTTTATTTTTTAAATTGCTTCATCATTAACTGTACGGTTAAGAGCGGCATCTTTTAGTTTAGTACAAATAATATCTCTGAATCACTTTCGTTAGCAGGAACATACTAGCAGTAGTTTAATTTTAATTTTACAAGTTTCTTAAAAACAATTGTTGAGCTGGCTAACGTGCGTGTTTCTAAATTAAATTTCATGTTCCAGCTTTCTGTTATGTTTCGTAAAAAGGTAGTCTTGATTATCCCGACCTGTCAATCGGACGTAGAATGGTCGGTACACTGGTTAAGCGAGACTAATTTCAAAACAAGGGCACGTAAACAATCTTTTACTCAAAAGTATCTGGATGTTGTGGACTACACTTGGAACCAGTTTTAGTCTATTATTTATAGATGACTAAATGGTCATAGCTTATTAAGTACAACATGGTCATTTATTTAGTGACTATAATTGTGTGAAACTGATTTAAGGCTTGGTATATATATATATAAATATTGTGGCATAATTGTCGAGATATTTGAAGATATTTATTTATGGTGGGTCACCCTAGCAAAGGACAAACTGACCAACATTAGTCTCATGTATCAAGTACATTTCACTGAATAATATTAATCGTTATCATACACGTGTTGACTATGCTTTGATATAATCTGGTCCCATACCCCCAAGAAGAAAGCATCCACATTATTAGGGTGTCACACTGCGTAGCTTGTGTGAAACACTTTTGTTTTTGTTAAAATTATTAGGGTTTCACACTATTGTTTTTAAGATTATTATTCTTCTTACTAGGGTTTCACACTGCGTAGCTTGTGTGAAACACTATTATTTTTGTTAAAATTATTATTCTTATTATTATTCTTATTATTAGCCTTTCAGACTTTCGTCTGAAAGACTATTGTTTTTACTAAAATTATTATTAGGCTTTCAGACTTTTATCTGAAAGACTATTGTTTTTACTAAAATTATTATTATTATTATTATTTTTTTCCTGCGGGAGCCTATTTGTCCATGATCAAAACAGATGTTGGTCTGGAACCAAGTTTTCTATCGGGAAACCATGTGATGGCTACTGGATAAACTATTTTTGAAACTTCTGCGCATACCGGAAGTGACCGAACTTTGTACTTTTTCCTGGAATTAAAAATCGACCGTGGTTTTGTCAATTCTTTACCTATTTTCAAACAGATGACATTTTCGGAAACCCAGAATCTTTTCTGAGATAATGCAATGTGTGCAATGCTTATGTGGAAACCTGTTTAATGGTTTCATTGGTACCGGAAGTGACATATATTTAGGGTAATTTAGGAATATTTCCGATGACAGTTTGGCAGACTCCGAAAACACACTGCTGCTGACACGAAGAAGAGCATCTTGTCTGTCACTCATATGGGGATATTTTAGTTTAAAAAGAACATCCGACAAGTCTGTTAACCAGATATTGAGTTAATGAATATTTATTCTGTATTCCCGGCATTCCAGCAGATAAGAATAGAACGATCTGAGGTGACGATACCTACAGGAATAATCTTACCCCAGCATATATAGAGAGAGAGAAATGGGGTTTAACGTCCACTCGACACATACTAGGTCATTTCGGGACTAACATATGGTTTTTAATTTTATAATTTTTTAATTTTTTAATTCGCTTGGGCATAGAGGTCTTTAGCAGTGGGAGGAAAGCGGAGGACCCGGAGAAAACCCACGAGGTTGGACAGGCGACTCTACTCCTTGTCACGTACAACCGGGGATTCGAAACCACGCCAGTCGACTCAATGACAGACTTTATGATACAGCGCCCGCACCCTAACCATTCAGCCATCCACCCCCCCCCCCCCCAGAATATCTACATGTATATACATCTCACTATCTCACTTCATCAGTACATCTCACATACATTGCTAAATACCAAATGGATACACTAGATACATTAATCCATTTATACACCTCAAGTTATATCAATTTTATATCAGTTATTACCACAATATTGAATTTTTGAAGCACGATAATTTATTCCGGACGATAATCCATGATATCGTGATAATTTATTTTACCAATATCGTGAGATATCGCGATATTTTTTTTCTGTATCATTGCAACATTAAACTTTAGTTCTAATTAAGTGCGAGAACACTTGATGTATAGTTCTATCACATCAGTACCTTGACTAAGTTCGATAATGAGCATTTTCTACTTAGGGTAAGCAGAACGTTAAACAGTTTGATTGATCAAGACTTTGAAACACAATAACTCTCCTTCTAATTGAGGTAGAATTTTCAAACTTAGTGTAGACGTTCATTCGGTGATGCCTTGATGGAATTCGATAATAAACATTGTCAGCTTACGGTATGCAGAGATAAGCTATCTGATTGGTTGATGCTTTGGGGCATGGTAACTTTTGTTATAATTAAGTGGCAGTGATGAACTCCGAGTATAGATTCATTATATCATTACCTCGACTAAGTCGATGTATGAGAATTTTCAGCTTAGGCTAAGGAGCGATAAGCAATTCAATTAGAATGTTTTAACTTGATGTAGATGTTCATTAGGTGAATGTCTTGATTGAGTTCAATGATTGACATTTCGTGTTAAAGCTAAGCAGAGCTAAGCAATTTCATTGGTTGATGCTTTGGGACAAGATATCTTTGATTCTCTCTGATAGAGAGTGATGAAATTTAGTGTATAGTAGTTAACAATCAGTTTGATTGCTTCATACTTTTGAAAAAAATAAATGTGCGATTAATTAATGTGTCATGTATTTATTTTGGCATCTCGGCGGGGGACACCAGCCTCACTGGTGGCTTGTTAGTTTATGTGATGTATTTCTATTGGATTTTTATGTTGTATTATCTTGTAGATAAAACGGCTAATCCATTTAACTCTTCTGGATTTGGCTATCCTGGTCAAGATCCGTTTGGTATGGGAGCTTTTAATCCATCATCCACTGGATCTATAGATCAGGCCATTAAAAATGTGGACCAAGAATTATTTGATATTCAGGTAAGTTGAATTTGTGGAATATAACATACCCAGGTCCTCTTTTAGCCTACACAATTACATGACTTAGTTTAACATCCTCTTCCACACAAGGTAATATGGCATCAACACTTTATAAAATATCTGTAATTATCCACATACAACTTTGCACTGGAAAAGGTTAAATATAATTCATGGATACTATGGCTGAACCTGGAAATTGCATACAAAGTTTTTTTTTATGATTGATTTTAGTAGTTGAGGATGTCCTCTTTCAGAATCTACCGGGTAAACCTCGGTCACCCTTGAGCGTTTTGAGAAATTGAAAATGGCGTCCAAGATGGCCGCAATTTCAAATAATCCCCTATACTCCCATAGTATTTAGCAGTGATGGGATTTCGCCGGTATATTCCGGACATGTCCGATGCTATTTTCCAAATGTCCTAAATTGTCTGACCAGGAATATGCCCAATCGGACATCAAGACATGTTGAATAATATTCAAAATTCTAAAATGAATATAATGTACTGGGTTTATAACTACCACTCAACCCGATTATCGTTCATAATAGGCTGGATTGATTAGGTAATTAAGTGATCAACATATTTATCGTGTTATACCGTCTATACACCTACGGTGGACGCTCTAGAGGCCAAAGTTAATATCTGATTGACTTTAAATTTATACACGGTGTTTAAGGTCTTGAGACGAAGAAGCCTATTGAAAAATCTTGTGGACGCTCTAGAGGCCAATGTTAATATCTGATTGACCTAAAATTTATACACAGTGTTTAAGGTCATGAGACGAAGCCTAATGATTTTCAGCGATTTCAGATAATTACTTCCAGAGTTATGGCCCTTGATCACTTTGAAAAATCTAGTGGACACTCTATAGGCCAAAGTTAATATCCGATTGACTTTAAATTTATACACAGTGTTTAAGGTCATGAGACGAAGAATCCTATTGGTTTTCAACGATTTCATCCGATTGACTTCAGATTGATACACAGAGTTTAAGATCTTGAGACGATCAAGTATATTGATTTTCAATGAATTTTTATGTCTTGAACAGCTAAATCCATGATGCTAAAAGTTTGGTATACAAAACGTTAGCATGGGGCAGAACTTTATAAAAACAAACAAATTCTAATGGTTTTCTGATAATTACTTCACGAGTTGTTGCTCTTAATCAGATTTTAGTGTATTATAAATGTTTCATTACCGTAAAAAGTAAAAATATGCAACAACTCTTGTTGACTGCCCGGACGATTTAGCTGTTGTGGGCGTATGTTTCGTTGCCTGGCAACCTATCTTTTATTATGTATGAATTTGAATATTTTGTTGACATGTGATTCTTAATTGTGGTTTGAAAATGCCTGCTTAAATAACGACAAGAGTTATGCCCCTTATCGAGAAAAATAAGTCCAACAAGAAAAATTTTGAAATCCCATCCCTGGTATTTAGTCGAGGATGCTAATTTTGGTGTCTTAACAATATGTTTTGGGTCCAAGGAATACACTGAAATTGGTCATTATTTCGTAGGGTGATTATTAGATGATGGTAAAATCCAATATCCTTTATTCATGTTTCTGGCAGCACAAGCGCAAAATACTGTATATTCTAAGATATCCCTAGTGCAGCTACAAGCAAGCGTACTACATGGGGTGTAACTCTTGCATCCACATCTGATGAGCCACATGACAGACTACGGAACAAGTTAACCAGTTGTAATGTTCTCAAATTAGTATCCTTCACCCAGCAATATATACTCTTCAAAAAAAGTAGGGGATATTCAGAAACAATACAAAACTGCAGAAATGCACTGCTGTTTTTAATAGAGGTAAACAGTTCATATGGGTGGCTTTTCTGACGGCCCCATTTCACTCGCAAAGAGATACACTGTCAAAAGTGAAAATGGAAGTTTTTGATTTTTGTCTTAATAAATAGTAATTGCTCCACCAATCCTCAGACATTCAGCAATTTGTCATGGCATGCTCCTAATCAACCGTGCAATCGCGATTTGGGGCAATCTGACCCACTTCTCTTGCAGTGCCACGGCCAATTCTTGCAGTGTTGTCGGTAGACGTTGACAAGGTCAGGACTCATGGCTGGCCAAGACATGGACAATATGGTGATGCAGGAGGTAGTCATTCACGACACGAGCACGGTGGGCACGGGCATTATCGTCTTGAAAGATGAAACGTCGACCTGCACGTTGAGCAAAGGGCAGAACTATCAGTGCCAGGATGTGGTCACAGTAGTACACACCAGTGACCCTTCCTTGAACAATATGCAAGTCTGTTATGCCAGTCATGGTGATTCCTCCCCACACCATAACAGACCCACGCCCGAATCTGTCATGCTGTCTGAGGTTAACATTAGCATGACGCTCATTCACACGCCTCCAAACGCGAGAACGCCTATCGGTGAAATCCAGAGTAAATCTGGACTCATCTGAACATTACACGCGCCCATCGACGATTACCCCAATTTCTACGCTGCCTACACCATTGACGCCTGTAAGCCATGTGCTGGCGAGTTAATGGAGGCACAACACTTGGTCGTCGCGCATGTAAATGGGCTGCATGTAGCTGATTGGTACAAGTTTACAGAAAGCTGATTGGCCGTTTGTCCTCGATTTCGCAGGACCTGTGTACGAATGTCTCGATACTGGGCTTGTGTAGTGGCTCTAGGACGACCTGAACAAGCTCTATCATCAAAATTGTGTGTTTGTTGGTACCGGTTCCACAGTCTGCTGATCACAGACTGTGAAACATTAAGTATGTTGGCTACTGTTCGCTGTGTAGAACCCATTTGAAGCATGCCAATAGCGCATAGACGTTCATCATGTTAAAGATGTCTCGTTGCAAATAGCCCAATTCGCAAATAGGAATTCTGGGATAGGGTCAAGGTCGCCTTGTTGTAAACAAAGACACACGTGACATGGCCGATCAATTGACAGACGTCAAATTTGACGAAATAAATCTTTGGAATATCCAATCTTTAAAAGACTTTTGTCGGAAAAAAGGATTGAGAGTAAATGGGAGCAAACAAGAATTAGTAGCTCGTGTTTTTGCTGGATTGGAGTTTGATTTACCCGACAAAACCACGAAAGATGAAGAACTTCGCCTCAAAGCCCGATCCTACCAATCCTTGTTGTATGCAGGTGGAATCAAACTCCCTGATCCATTTTCTGAACTTACGGTCGGTTGGATAAATGAAAATAATGGTAGAAAGTCTTGGCCACCGACGATGTATTGTGATATATGTGAGTATTTATAATAATGATTGTGTGTTAACACTGTTATCGCTTCCCCAATTTTAAAGTAAATCATTCAATGACAGAACCGTACTAATCTAGTTAAAATATTAAGTACCGGTATCCAATGATATTGAGAGTTGATAATATATAATGGTCTTGTCATGTCAATATGTCTAATTACTGATATTATATTATAACATTTAAAAGGCCTAAAGAAAGACCAGCAATAGGCAAATTTAGCTCTTGAATAATGTATCTTTAACAATTCAAATTTTATATGATAAGTATTCCAAATATTTTAGATAAATAGAGAGAGAGTTGTTGTTGTTTAACCTCAACTCGACACAAACTAGGTCATTTTGTGACTATCATATTGTATAATTTCAATTGAATAATTCACGTAATTTAAGGGTCTTTAGCAGTGGTAGGAAACCAGAGGACTCGAGACCCCCCCCCCCCCCATACGAGTATGAAAGAATCTATTTGTTTAATATCTGTGATTCTTATAATTAATAACAATAATGATAATAATTTGAAAATAATACATGTATCATAATGTTAATTATTTCTTATCATTTCAGATTAGGGGCAACCTGTAACCATGTTGCGGCAGTTTTATTTAAGATGGATTACTATTGGAGGCAAGGATTAACAAATAAAGCGTGCACAGACACTATTTGTTCTTGGAATAAATATGGATCACATAAAACTGTGTTACAACCAGTACTAGCCAAAAATCTTCAATGGCGTAAACCTAAATTTGGTAAACAAAAAACTGAGCATTTAAACTTATTGAAATCAATAGAAACTTCAGATCCATTTTCTTTTGAAGAGATCAAAGAGGCTCTTTTGCCAGTTTGTCCTAAAGCTGTGGTTTTTCAAGGTCAAAAGGATATCTCACCAGATGACATTTTCCATGTGGATGTTAGTACATCAGCCCCGCCTCCACTATGCGATATGTTATATATTTGTAAATCACAGACAGAAATAAAGTCTGTTTTAGAAAGTTTTAGTGATGAAAATGTTAAATTGATTGCAGAAAGTACAGTTGGTCAGTCAGATAATAACTTATGGGCTTCTCATCGAAAATGTAGGATTACCTCATCTTTTGTTCATGATGTGTTTACTAGGATCAATTCCTTGAAATCTGGGAAAAGGGGGGACAACATTACATCAGTATTGATGAAAATTCTGCATTCAGAATCTTTTGATTACAAGAAAGTACCCCAATTGAAATATGGTATAGAAATGGAGTCAGAGGCTAAAATGTCTTATACTAAGTTTATGCTTTCTTCCGGACACAGCAATTTTTGTGTTTTAAATGTGGGACTTATAGTTCTTCAAGACAAACCACAATATGGTGCTTCTCCAGATGGCATAGTGTCTTGCTCATGTTGCCAAGATGGTTTGGTTGAAATTAAATGTCCAATGTCGATAGCACATACTTGTCCATCGGAATCAAATCTGCCATACTTGGTAAACATAGGAGAATTATGCTCACTGAAGAAAACCCATAAATACTACTCTCAAATCCAGTGGCAGATGGGAATCAGTCATTTGCCATGGTGTGATTTCTTTGTGTACACTAGGCATGGTCATTTTCTGGAAAGAATCCCATTTGATGAAAAGCATTTTAAGAATATAATTTGTAATTGTGATCAATTTTACTCAGAATTTGTTATACCAACTATTTTGAATAAATCGGGGGATTATAATATTGATGTTCAGGTCGATGTTCACAATATCTCTGATGCCGAGTACGA